GGAACTAAGCCTCCCCTTCCTTGGATTGACCCTATATGCCTCTCAGGTGCTGTAAGTCACCTTCTTTGTGAGAATTAAGAAGCACATATGCTGCTATGTATGATAATCTGCGTAACTGCATGTGTATATACCTAATCAGCTTACTAAATTTGAATAAACGATGTGGTGTACGGACCATCAAGGCCCACGTGTATACTTCCAGTGAAGGAGTCATTAGGGTGTAAAGAGGACCTGGAACTCTCCGAATTTCCCTTATATCCTAATATTCATTGAGAAAATAGACATAAGATTAAATAAACAAAAGATGGATTAATGGTTATGTAGTAACGCCTTGATAAGAGATCACTAAAGATTTTTTTTTTTTATATTTTATTTAGAACAATACAATACAAGAGATAGATAAAGACAAAAACAGGTCTTACACAGAATAAATCATTAACAACCACACAAACATGAACTTGAGATAACACAAATATCCCTCCTCACCCATACATGAAAACCCCTACACCTATGATAACCAATAAACGACTAATTCCAATTGCATTGTTATATGATTAACAAAACACACCATAATATGCATATATTGTCACTTTGTAAATTATAAAGTAGGACACCGTATACGTTAAATACAACTGACGTAATGTATTGAGAATAAGGTAAAAACAATATGTTCATCAAACACAGAATATATTAATAAACAAGGATCCAACACACTGACACCTCTACAAGCATCTAACAACATGCATATGAGTAACATACATAGAACAATGTCCTACTGCAAAATCAGACACATATATTGAGTATACTCGTCACAAACCATGAATACACATCATACGCCCAAGTTCATACACATTCACCCGCTACATACCAGGAGGCGACCCCGTTTCCACCCCTGACAGCCCATCAACATAACACATTGTACCATCCCTACCCTGCCCCACCCACCTAATTTACAAATTTAATAAAACCTCTAATGTAAGGTCTCTATATCCCTCAGAGAAATCCCGCTCCCACCTCCTCCCATGAAGTTCTCTATTACGGCACAACGTTTTATAAAACGTAACAGCCAATACCCTCCTCTTCACCTCACTTACCCTTTCCCCCTCATTCCCCACATAATGTAGACATAATCTACCATAATGTACCCCACAGCCCTAATAATACTTTCATCCATACCCCCCACATCAAGACTCAATGCCCGCAGAACAGAGAAGTATTGACCACTTATCTTATGCAACACCCTGCTCAACCAACCCTGACGCTCCCCAACCCCTCACAAAAATACACTACATGGAATGCAGAATCCTCCCCCGCCACATATTCCACATACCCCCCCCCTCAACCACCCGTCTAGCTCGTAAGACCACTCCGATGGTAAAATCCCATGCAAAAACCGATACATCACCTCACGTCACGGGGTTGTAACCTTAACCTACCAAACCTTCTCCATATACATCCCCAGTCATACATGGGGAAAATCCCCTCCAACCGGAGCCACACCCTTTCCGCCGACATCCTACACAGCCTACTTATTTTTACCTTACCCAGATCCCTAACCATCACCACTGCCCTCAAAATAGTTTCACACTCCCTCACTCCGTCCCAGAAAACATGCGTTTCAATTTATTGTGTACCTTAACCAACCCCCCCCCCCACTCACACCCTCCCTCATCACCTCCCTTTTAATGAAGATACATTTGACCCTCCTCTTTAAGTTCATTAAACCCAACCCCCCCTGATGCACATTACTACATCCCTTCTAAGCCAATCACAACCTGAACCCCACAAAAATTTAAAAACCCCTCTAAGTATAGTTGCAATTGCCGTCCCCTTTAAAAGGGGAAAACACGGCAGCACATGCCAAACCTTGCTATACAATAAAACGTTAATTACAATGGCACGCTGCACAAGGGTCAAATGATAAGGCCGCAATGCTCCCAATCGACCCAGTATCCTTTCTACCAACCTGACCGAATTATTAACACGTGCAACCTCAAGATCATCTGCATAGATTAGACCACAAATTTTTAATGACATCACCCGCTTCTTTACGACTGCACTACCCACTCGACCCGCTCCCCCCAAGTTCCTAACCCCATAACCATGGACTTCTCGAATTTACCCTCCATACCAGTTGCACATGCAAACGTGTCGACCACTCCATCTAAGGTGTTTATGGACATCCCCTCTCTAACCAATACAGTGGTATCATCTACATACCCTATGAGAACAGGCCAAACGCCCCAGTACCCCCCCAACCCCTTCACTAACGCCCATATGGCGCTCCACATTCTATAAAAGGGGTCCTGTATGCATGCAAATAAAAGCTGTGACATAGGACACCCTGTCTAAGACCTCTGCCCATTACAATCCTCCCCCTAATCTTCCATTAATCTGTACTCTCACCATTGCCCTCTATATAACGCCTCTACCCATCCCACTATTTCTTCCCCATAGCCTGTTTCCTAAGGATAGCTCTCAACGCCCCCTCGCTCCACCTATCAAAGCTCCTTGCCAGTCTAGTGCAACCAAACCCCCCCCCTTCCCCCTTTTTCTTCAACGAAACCCCTTAAAAGACCATGTCCCACCCCATAGACCTACCTGGCAACCCAAACTGGGTTTCCGATACAACCCTCCCTACAACACACTTGAGCCTATTTCCTAAAATTTTTGCAAATAACTTATAATCCGCGCATAACAACGATATTGTTCTATAGTCCCTGAGCGAATGCTGTTCCTTACCCTTCGGTACCAAAACAACTACAGCTGTTGCCTGTCTTTCACCCAACCTTCCCCTTACCTTCATCAAGTTTCAGTAACCTCACCAAAAAACCTTTTATTAACTCCCAATGCTGTTGTATAAAACTCGCCGGCAGTCCATCGATTCCGGTGCTTTGCCCTTTCGCATGGCACTCAAAGCTCTCCATATTTCCCCTCAGTTATGTCCCCCCCCAAAGCTTCCCTATCACTGTGTCCTAACCTACATGGCACACTTCCACACACCTCTCTAAATCCCCTAATCCTACCCTTCCTCCCGCCAATACTTTTCGTACCACGTATCCGCAAACAACCCCATCCCATCCGTAGTGTGGATAACCTGACCCGCCCTATACCCTCCCACCGACTCAAGAACCTCCAAACATGGAATAGCTGTTGCCCGCTGACGTTGTTTTTGTCTACGCAACACACACGAAGACGGCCTATCTCCCCATAACACCTCCTCCACCCCCGCCATTACTCTCACCGCTTGGAACCGCTCGTCCTGAATTTCCCGCAACCGCTCTTTAAGTATCATAATGTCGTCCATCGGATAGACACCCTCTACTGTCCCTTTTACATAACAACCCCGTAACCTGTCTCCAAATAATTAATCAAACCCAAATTTTAAAGAATTAATCCTTTTCCCCTCCCTCACATAATAATGCCGAATCCGGTCCTTAGCCACACCATCCCACCACGTCCTCCACACCTTGTACCTCCTCAGTTAATCTCTCCCACAGCTCCGTAAAACCCCCCAACCCCTCCTCATCTTCCAACAGACTCGTATTTAATTTCCAATATCCCCTAGAGATACAAGCTAGAGAATCCCACTCTACTTCTGCGACAACCGCCCTATGATCTGAAAAAGCTAGTTCAATAGTACGGACAGACGTTGACAATACCTTATGAGATATATACAACCTGTCTAACCCAGCTGCGTAACCTCGCCTCACGAAAGTATGCTCCACCTCCCACGCTCCCCCACCTACCACATCCCTCAACTGAACGTCCACCAAAAGATTGCGTAATGCTGTCAACATATGCCCCGCCCCTCGTGGTTCCACATCCGCTCTCCTGATCACACAATTCCAGTCCCCACCTACGATGGCCACTTCAGGTAAACCACGAAGAAAAAACTAGATCATCACACACAAAATCCCTCTTGACTTTCATATCATTTTCAGCTGGTGCATACACACTTACAAAGGTTACCCTCTGCCCCATCCACACGCAACACCCTCCCCCCCCCACCCCCTTCACGTCTTTGCAACACAAACGGGCTCGCCTCCTTTATCAATAAACCCACACCACCTTTCAAACGTGCCGATGGCAGAGTCAACACCGTATACCCGTCCACCTCGAGCACTCTACCCTCCCTGAAATTATGCTCCTGTAGAAAGACTACGTCCACTCTGTATCGACGTAAGAGCATACGAAAACATTCCCTCTTCACACCAGTACACAGTCCATTCACATTCACAGTCATGCACTTAATGGCCTTTCTAAAGCTTCCAACCCTTTCTCTCTCACCCTTCCCAGGGCCTCTTGCCCCAGGGTCAACATGTGGTTTGTCACCATCCACCCCCCCCCTCTTCGATGCCTCTTATCCTGGCTGTCACGAGAATATACATCCTTCCTCCCAGACTCTGCGCGGGCGTCAGGACATCATCTGAGTCTGACGCAGCTGCCCTCTTCCTCGTAACACTCTCTACCGCCATACTGTCTACCGAAGATTCCTCACAGTGAACATCAACCTCTACTGTGACCTGTCGCACAGAGCTTGGTGACTCCTCTCTGTGCCTGCAGTTGTCCTCCTTCCTTCCCGTGCCTGTCCCGCCACACTCTCCTTTCAACTCAGGCACCATTTCACGGACCAAGCCATTATCCTCGCCCGAAGAAGGTAAAGTTTTCAATACCTCGTCGAGCTCCTCCTCCAGCTCTTGCACCTCCTGCTGAATGAGCACTTTCCCCCCCCGTCACCGGCAAAGTGGCCATTTTCGGCTCCACACAACTCGTGCCCCGCCCAACATGCACCACAAGAGACTCTTCTACAATTTCACTCCACAGACGGCCATCTCCTCGGTTTCCTTTGAATTCTCCTCTACGACATCCACACCCGTAACTGGTGCACCACCTGTTTGCGCCGGCGCCCTCCACTGCCTCCCACACGTCGCCGCCATATGGTCATACTCTCCACACAACCTGCATGTCCGTCGCTGCCCACATACGCCACTGAATTTGGGTCCTAAACTCCGGCATCACGACGTATGACGGGATCGGGTGCCTCAGTGTCATTTTGAGGGAGAATGTACCCTCCGGACGTCCCACGTACGCACCTGCCGCCCACTTGCCTTGGGTTGCCAGATGCACGGTACCATAAGCTGCAAACACCTTCCGTAAGTCCTCCTCGTCAGCCTCGAAGGGGACATTGCGCAACTTCACCCACGTATAGTGGCGAGAAACGTCTATGAGTCGCACTTTGACAGCTGGAGTTACATCAATACTCACATGCTCAAATTTCGTCACTAACGACTCGTACACAGCCGTCGAATTTAACTTGACGAATAGACGATAGGCCCCATTCAGGGCCACACCATAAACCTCATCATCCTGCACTCCGTACGTTTCCCTGATGATTGCCGGAAGTAACACCTGCGCCGTAGAGGGGGAAATCGCCCCACAAAGCAGCTCCACGCCGACAGTGTTCACCCTACGTCGGATACTCAGCGCCATATTGTTGCTATGAGAGCTCTCTTGACAAAACAGCAGAGGGGTGCTGTGCACAACCGCACTCCACCGCAGTCAGGCAGCTAATGTCTTGATAAGAGATCACTAAAGATTGACAGGATGTGGACTGTAAAACAAAAGTAGCAGGCAGTAGTGGTGGGACAAGTCGGACGTACCTGATGACTTCGCGTTTCAAAATGTGACTGTTAGCAGCCACGAGTCAGGTGGAGGAGTCCTCGACCTTTTAACATTATTTGGGCAACGGACAAAATATGTGGAGGAATCAAATTCTAGAGCATTGTTATAATCAAAACTAGGCGCTAAACCAAAAAAAAAAAAAGGTCATAGAGCGCTGCATTCCATAGAGCAGTTTAGGTATTTGTATAATTTATTGTGGTGTCTATCGTTTCATCGCCTGGATCATCATTTATACTAAAAACAGGCGCTAAACCTGTATCCCGAAGTGCTGTATCTCCTGGAAGGGAATGAAGACACGATTATCATAAAAAAGAAGCGCTAAGCCACAAGGACTATACAGCAATGAAGACACGAGGAATGCAAGAGAAGGTACTGTAGTACAGGTTAAATGTTCATGGGTTGGAAAAAAACCTGTAAGTAATGTGTATTCATCACATTCATTGGGAGAGGGAAGGAAGAAGTTGCCCCGGAAACTTCAAGAGTGGCAGAAAATGTGCTTGCAGAATAAATAGACATAAGAAGGTATAAACAAAGGAAGCAGAATCCTGAGGAACACGAGAGGAAGATTTAAAGGTAGATTAGGGAGGCCCAGCATGAATCTCTACTGCTGACGCACGATGAGTGGAAAAATTAGATCGTGTAGCGAATGAACAAGGTCTGAGAAAAATGACGAGTAGACGAGAAAGCCTGAAGAGCATAAGATGATAACTTAAGATACATGAGTAACAGTGATATATAAGAATATATACCTCAGAAGTCTCAAATTTGTTACAAACAAAAACCGAAGAGCTTATGTCTGCAGGAAGTGGAGACCAAATGGAAAACTTCGTCAAACGACCAGTTTTTCGACGATAGTCGGTCTGATCAGTACCACATTCCTTCCATCTTCAGGAGGCAGATCTGGCGTTCCTTCAAGGTATACAAGGCATGAACAGGAATAGGAGTGACGAGCCTCGGCACACCTCACACAGCGATGGGTAGATAGTTTGGAAGTTGCGCCATCATGCGTGGGGAAGGAGCAGTCTGCGCCTCACCACCATTTAACATATTAGACAGGAAGGCAAACACATTCAGTAGCAAACATATGTTGTATTAATATTATTATTATTATAATCAAAAAGAAGCGCTAAGCCACAAGGGCTATACAGCTGTTGTATTAATAAAATATACAAGTATACATACATTTTTATTGCTGTATTAATGTTTTAAGACGCGCATACACTATCAAACATTCATGGGGAAGGGCTAAACCCATATGGGTCATACATCGCACAGGGAATAGGGGATAACCAGGTTTAATACGAGGAAAAATAGCTCAAATTCACTGGAACATGAACTTTTCACCAGCAACCAGGCACCCCTCTTAAAGATACAGGGAAGCGCTAAACCTCTAAGAGCTATATATAGCCTGGGAAATGAGACACTCAGATATAAAGGTGAGGGTAGCTCCAATTTCTTGGATCAAGATCTACAAAGGCATACAATATGAACATGTGACGCTATGTTGTCTGCGATGTAATATGCAGGAACAATCATGGAAGGGGAGGTGCCGTGATGCTGCTGAAGGGATCTTGATCCAAAGGACTTGGAATAAGCTTCAATTATTTGGATCAAACAATTATGCCCATTCCCAGGCACCTGTACGATTCCTACGGGTTTAGGGTTTCTCCATAAATATAATAAACAAATAAAATTGTAAATCTATGAACCTGGCAGCATACAGCTGTACAAACTCGTAAGTCGTAGTGTACTACGATCAGTAACTATACAGAAGAATGGACGGTAACTCGAACCGTGGTCCTGGCACGCAATAGGTCTTATGCTGTACCAATGAGTGGTCCTGGCACGCAGGTCTTATACTGTACCACTGAGTGGTCCTGGCACGCAACATGTCTTATGCTGTACCACTGAGTGGTCCTGGCACGCAGCAGGTCTTATGCTGTATCACTGAGTCACGAAGCTTACAATAAACTTCGTGGCTCAGTGGTACAGCGTTGGGCTGACTGCATACTAGGATCACGGTTCGAGTTCCCGTCCCGTTCATTCTTCTGTATATGCAGCTGCATGTATATACGCAGGGGGAGGGTAATTCCCTTCCCTCCTGGGAAGGGTGGTCCTCTTCCCTCTTGGGCAGGGGAGGGTAGTACCCGTCCCTCTTGTGGAGGGGGAAGTACCCCACCCTCTTGGGAAGGACAGTACTCCCACTTCAGAATGGGAGGGGTAGTGCCCCTTCCTCTCGGAAATGGGAAGAGTAGTAATCCTCCCTCTCAAGGAGGTCGAGGAGTAGTACCCCTCCCTCTTGTGAAAGAGGATAGTACTTCAGTCTTGCTCATAATACCTAAGACTCCTGTTACTTACTGGTACTTTCCACAGTAAAAATTTCTCTCCTCTTGCAGTCCCTCGGGTCTTGTCTTACTACGTTCATTTTCTCTAGTGTCTCCTAACTTCCCACGCTGTTTATACATCCTTTTGTCTTTTGTTAGCTCTACTTCTCTTTTAGGACTAAGTATAACCATCTAGATTTTCTGCTGTATTTATGCTCTCCTCTCTTCTCACTATATTCATCCACCTCCACGTTATCTTAGGGTCTCTTTCTCCTCCTACGATATAACTTATTTATTGTATATTTTGCTACAGCCTATACAAATTTATCACAATAATTTGAGAGATCGTTCTGTAGTCTAGTTATATTTGCTGATCTATAATTATTATAATTACAATACCAGCAAATAATTTTTGTTTACATAAATTATAGGAATTTAACTTATATCACTTAAAAAGTTTAAGTAAGAATATTTAGTTTTGGTTTAATATTTTTCACAACCATTATCTTCTGACTAGGACTTACGATCAGCGGTCTCCTCTCTCTCAAACTTCGGAGTTCCATGCAAATACTGTCTTCACCTGTGCCACATACGCAGCACCTACATACACAGCATGCTTCAATTATTGCCCTTCTCCATTCAATCATCTTTAATCCATGTAAGAATGGTATATAATACCGACAAGATGAAATTAAGACATGTGCAACATCTGGGTATCTTTATTGTAGACGTTTCGCCATCAAGTGGCTTTATCAATACAAATTCTAGGACATAACTTGAAGACAGTAGAACTATGTACAGAAGATGAGGTAATCAGTCCCTCAACCTAGGGACTGATTACCTCTACAACTAACCCATCTCTTTGGGAAGGACCTACTTCCACTGGGGAATCCCGCCTACCAGTGACTATGCCCTCGTCTGCTACACCTGACGTTACTATATAAGCGCCAGGCTCCTTTCTTCTGCTTCATTGGCCGAACGATGCGTATACGGTTCAGAGATCATTATTCGGACTACTTCACATTAAAAGCGGGTGTACCCCAAGGCTCTGTCCTGTCTCCCACCCTATATATACTCTACACGAATGATTTACGTGAACCTCTTTACCCAAACACACTTACCCTTTCTTACGCAGACATCACTCAACTCACAACACATGAAAACTTTCGTTTCCTTGCACGCAGAACACAAAGAGAGGTCGACAGGATTACCGCCTGGGAATTATTATGGCGAATCAAAACCAACCCAAATAAGTCAAAAATCACTTACTTCCATAGAATGCGTGATGTCCCCACTCCTGTCGAACTCAAAACAAGCACCTCCCGTACCCCCATCCCACGCTCCTTCTCGACAGTTGTCCTTGGTGTTACCCTCGACCACACACTGAACCTAAAATCTCACATTACTGCAAAGACCACACAGGGGGGAACTGCACTCTCAAGGTTATACAAGCTGCGAGGAGCCAGTCCCAAGACAAAACTACATCTTTACAAAGCACTCATTCGTCCTCTACTCTCTTACTTTCCACTCGCTCTGACGTTAATCGCCAAGACAAACGCACTAAAATTTCAACGTATCCAGAATCGTGCATTACGTTGGGTGTTGGGGGTGAGGTGGGACGAATTTGCTACCAGTGAATCTCTCCACCTCACGACAAACACGTATACTGGAAGACACACAGTGACAAACAACTTGACAGACTTGAAGCATATCATGACTACTGGACTACATACTTAGCAGATACTCTCAGACGTCCTTACAATGATGTAAATCTTTTTCAATCGTTGTATGATCCGGCACCTCCACCACAATACAAATAAATTATCTGACTTTTGCTTAAAAATTCAAATAACTTAAAAGTGCCATTGCCGTAGAGCTGTGTCTTTGTGCGTTTTTAGGGATGAAGTGCTTGCGGTGTGCGTTTGCGTCGCCTTTGCAGCAACGTGTCCCTGAACCATATCCAGTCATTGCAAGTTGATATGCTTCCAGTAAGTTGCAGTCAGCACCCGCAGAGTCCCTGTTGTCTTTTACGTCGTCTTCGTTATTGTTTATCCAGGCTTAGCAGTTGGGTCTAGTCCTGACTCTTCTCTCTTCGACTCCAGACATTCCTCTCACCGTCTATTCTTCGCACTGTCCCCACTTGCCCCTCGCGGGTCCTTACCTGTGAGTCCTATCATATCTGCTTCAGAATCTCCAAGACTATGGTGCTCTTCGCACCTACTCCTAGGTTGAGGGACTGATTACCTCATCTTCTGTACATAGTTCTACTGTCTTCAAGTTATGTCCTAGAATTTGTATTGATAAAGCCACTGGATGGCGAAACGTCTACAATAAAGATACCCAGATGTTGCACATGTGTCTTAATTTCATCTTTAATCCAGTTCCTCTAAGCAGTTACCAACAACCTAATTGCTCGGGTATGAGATACCAATGCATTGGTAAGATACGTATAGTTACATGGAACCTTAAGTAAGTTTGTTTAGGTATATTAAAACATGAAACAATAGACTGTTCGCTGCATCAAAGAATGGTCCGGACGCTGAGGCAGGAGGGCAGCCTACCTAGAGGGAGGCCGGAGCACTCCCGCGCAGGCCCGGAGAAGCGCAGCACAATGACGGCAACGATGGCCGGAGATCCCACCGGAAACAGGTACACATAAGTACAATTATCATACCTAGTAACATGCGGTAAGAAAGAGCTAGCAAACAAATATCGGTGAGGTGAGTAGTAAGTGGGGTACGCGTCAGGTTCGAGTTATTGGCAAATGTCCTAGTTTTCCAACAAGATGGTTAGACAAACTGTAGAAACTATTGACTGGTTCAAGTCGTTAAGTTACTGATGAGTGCAGATTCAAGGACTTTTCTTCTCTCAGGATCGTTCTTCTTGGCAATTAGTAGTCTGCCATTCCAATTTATTAACTCGACATAGCCAGCCACCAGAACCTCAACCTCCATCAAGAACATCACGAGACAGAACCACCACCTACGTGACTATACAACTACACAGCGGTAGAGACAATCCCATGTAATAACTGACCAAATTTACATAGCTGAAACATCCAGACCTCCACCAACGAATATCAGTACACCAATATGCTATCAGAAAAGAAAATCTCAACAACGCCTACTTAATTCTCAAAACACCCAGAGAAGGGTCCAAGACAAGACAAGAGAGTATAGGTAATACCCTTGTGGGGTGAGCGGGGAAGTGGGGATAGTGGAAGAGCAGGTTGGTGAGAGGAAGGTTGAGTGGAAGGGATAGTACCAGGGCTTAACCAAGTAGCTAAGGCGATCGTGGGTCAGAGACTGGTGTGACGAGGACTGATAAGGCACACGAGTTGGGTGGACGCCAAACAAGAACAAGCGCAAGGTACCTGCGAGAGAATCCAATGGTGATGTAAGGAGGGGGGGGGGGGGGTTAAAAACGCACATCTTTTAAGGTCCACACCTGTTAGGACAGGCTAGTAAGAACAGAAATTATCTATAAATAGGGTTTGGAGCAGGTGCATATAAGGAGTAGAATGGGTTAGCAGGTCTGCGAATGTCTTCGTCAAGGAGCAAGGTTCAGTAGTGTGTCTAGTTTGTCAATCTGTCACTGAACGCCTTCCAGTACACGTTCAGCACAGGGATGCCTGACTGGGCATAAAAGGGTCCTCCGATCTGCAATCATAAATATCTCCAACAATTTCAATGGTTTCTAGTTTATCTGAACCTCATATTGGAAAGATTTCAGATAATATTGATTCTACTCTAAGCTTAGCTGGCTGCGAGAGTATCGCGTCCGTCTCACGATTAGCGGATAGAGGACCACTCCTAGCACTGAATGACTTACCCACACGCAAGATACAGATCCTTTGGATATCACTGACTTGATGGGCACCTCACTTACTCTATATATCGCCACCATCTCACTACTATATACTATATGTTACCCCTCCCTTATCAGGTTTATGTTTGTAATTGGATACAGCTCACTGTGGGCAAAACGTTGTCAATAAAGGTTCCATGTAACTGAATATGTATCTCCCTACAAATCAAACTGTTTAGAGACGGGGCCGTATTTACTGGACGAAGGACTGAGCCTCCAACACTTCGTACGATGAATGGCCCACACGGGTTTAGTATGTCAAGAACTACTATCTCCTCACTATTACCCAAATAAATGGGTGGGGAGCGTTGGTGCCGGAAGGTATGGAAAGACTCAGTGCCAGGTGGTAAAGGCTGGTGTCTGGCAGAATCAGTGGCAGATGGGGAAACCTGGCGCTGGGAAGAGAGACGGTGGTGTCAGACCAGGAAGGGCCTGTGTCGGGCAGAGTCGGCAAGAGCCCGGCAAAGCCAGTAATGGAAGGGGAAAGCCAATGTGGGATGGAGAAGGTCGGTATGGGATGGGTCGCTCTGTGACTGGATGGTGTCTGGCAGAATCGGTGGCAGACGTGGAAAACTGGCGCCAGGTAAAAAGACGGTGTCAGAAAGGGAAGGGCTTGTGTCGGGCCGAGTCGGTAAGAGCCCGGAAAAGTCAGTAATGGAAGGGGAAAGCCAGTATGGGATGGAAAAGGTCGGTGTGAGATGGGTAACTCTGGATTGGCCGGGCCTCTGAGGGTTGGTGGCAGTAGTCTGGTAGTTGGCAGAGTGGAGGACGGAGCACACAACACTAAGGCACCACCAGTTTATCCCAGGTGTTCCGACCACATGGGTGTTGCAAGAACTGGTCGTTGTAGTGCACCCATTTATTGCAAACTGTAAGGGTTTTAAAAGCATTTACTACACAGTATACACATAATTTTATGTACATTTTTTGCTGGGTCATTGGTAGGGTGTAAAATTTTACGTGGAAAAGTTATTCATTACATTGTCCAAATTACTTTCAGAATTTCTGTTTACATATTTGAATCTGAAGGTTAAGAGTTGTTATCTCACCTCGGCTGATTTCAAGTGTGTGCATCTGGTATATTTAAATGTAGTCATTGGCATTAGGTTTAACTTTTTGCTGTTTCTGTCGACGGAAAATAACACCAGCTCCACAAACAAAAAATAACCAGGGAACAGTATAAGTGAATCACTCACTTGGAACTAACAAAATATTTATCCCCACAATCGTGGGACCCGCGTTCAATCATGAGATGGTAAAGATGTGTTAGTTTTCTTACACTTGTTACCTCCACTCATCCATAGGTACCTGGATGCTACTACTGTTGTGTGGCATCCCGGATGGTGCTAGTATACCTTAGGTTGAGCTGAATTTTAAAATGATCTGAGGATGGATAACAGCTCTTCTGTTAATTCAGAGATGTAAAAAAAAAAAAGCAGTTTCATACTCACTCCACTTTGAGCCGTGGAGGACTGGACAGCCTCCGTGTCTGGTGTTTTCGTCACCAACACCAGAACTGTAGAGGTTCCACCAGAAAGCTGCAGATCCACGCTTGGGCCAGATGGTCACTCCAGCTCGTGGGAATACAGTCGCGCCACCCGCCTCCACATCAGATAACTGCAACGAAATACTTATATACGAACCACTTGTGAGCAACCTACACTAGAACTTTTCTAACATTTGGCAGAAAATGAACACTAAGATAGAATGATACGCCCAGCGTCACCAAATATAAGTCGCATTTTATTTCTTAGGTATCCAAGAAGGAATACCTTTTAAGTGATTGCCTGAGTATCTTTTCCTCCATAGTTTTCATTTTTTAACTGGAGAACACCACTTCTGATCAGCTTTAAGTCTTCAGCATTGGTTTTCCTACTTAGGAGGTTGTGGCTGTTTTTTGCGTGTGCAGGTGCCACTGTAATTGTCAATTTTGCGTTGAAAATAAAAACAGCTAGGTATTTCAAGTTTTTTTTTTTTCAACAAGTCGGCCGTCTCCCACCGAGGCAGGGTGACCCCAAAAAAGAAAGAAAATCCCCAAAAAGAAAATACTTTCATCATCATTCAACACTTTCACCACACTCACACATTATCACTGTTTTTGCAGAGGTGCTCAGAATACAACAGTTTAGAAGCATACACATATAAAGATACACAACATATCCCTCCAAACTGCCAATATCCCAAACCCCTCCTTTAAAGTGCAGGCATTGTACTTCCCATTTCCAGGACTCAAGTCCGACTATATTTCAAGGTATAACGAAAATTATATAATGTTACTATGTATAGCATATCTGTATATATTAATCTATTTTCTACTATTATATTACAAGCACGGGAAAGTGATAAACCCGAAAATATACATTGTCAGGAGACTGGGAGGCATTTAAGTTCAGTCCGAGGAAGGGCGGGCTAGTTGCAGTTCCTCAGATCAAAAACACCAGCACCAATGCACCCTCACCTTCAAAGGTCTGATTGCTACTTACGTAAACCATGAAAGTGGCAAAGCGGTCACCCATGAAGCGTTCCCAAGCAGTGTAGACGGAGGGGTCTGGGTTCATCATGAGGTGGTCCGTGTGGGTCACGTATAACCCACCAATCCCATAGTTGGCAACCTGCAAACAGGGTGAAATGGTATGGTGATACAATCAAGTCTTAGCTAAAGAAACACGTATGCACTGATCAAGACATTTATTAGGAAATTGTTTCGCTATGAGTGACTTCTTCAGTCCCAATGAAGAAGCTACTGAGGCAAAACGTTTCCTTATTATGTGTGTATGTATCTTTTACTTAGAAAAAAACAAAATAGAGATAGTGTATCACTCATCTTACCAGTCTGTGATTAATGTCTAGGCTCACACGGATGATTAACTCAAATATTTTCTCTAAAGTGACTAGCATTATAATCCACAAGGACATGGAAAGGCATCTTACTTACGAATGTTTGGCAAGAAATTACATACAAAACGTATCCCAAGAAAATTCGTGTCCGAGGAGAGAAGAGTAGCAGTGTACACACCTGGTAATCCTCGCCTGCTGAGAGTCTGAGGGCGTGGAGCCTCGTCGTCATCTCAATCTTCTTAGTCAAGTTTACCAGCAGGTCATCAGCCTCGTCGCTTTCTCGCAACCATGCGCTGCAACAAGTTTATTTAGATACAGGTACATATAGGTACAATTATCATACCTAGTAATGTGTAAATTAGCTAAGATAACCCAAAAAGTCAGATATGTACATACTTGATATTTTGTTTCTACAGAGATTTCACTTTTAAAACATACTGTATACAGTCCTTTCGCTCACAGCGAATGAATGACGATCGTAATATGAAACGTTTACGGAGATTTTTACTTTACTGTAAAAATTTTCCTTTAATAGATTTTTCAAAGTCCCTTAATGTCCAATGTGACGTTCCTCCATGAGCCTTCACCTAATACACGATATTTATCCATCCATTTCCAAGATCTGTCGTATGTCCTCCCGTGGTTCAGTGTGCCCTGCCTGATGCCTGTCTTCCCCAGTGGCAGGCTTGTACTCACTTTTTGCTAGTCCTGATCATGCTGGTGATGAAGTCACCGTCAGGACCTCGATGACGGGATGTGGCGAGCTGCGGTATAACAAAGTTGATCACATATATGAAATAAGACTGAGGGGAAACATATTTAGTGCATGAATGTTTATATTAGGATGACTGTCTCGTTCCTTGTAGGAACGTGTACGTCTATGTCAGCAGAAGCTATAAGGTCAAATCCACTCACGGGGTGATTGGCGTGGTCACGTGAAAGTATTTCTTTTCCCTTCTGTTTTCTATTGGTTCACATTACCTTGGGTCAGTCCCCACTCGACCCTCCACTGCACTCCTGTAAATGTAAGCGGTTCTATCTTTACTTAATTTATTATTTTTTTTTATTATCACACTGGCCGATTCCCACCAAGGCAGGGTGGCCCGAAAAAGAAAAACTTTCACCATCATTCACTCCATCACTGTCTTGCCAGAAGGGTGCTTTACACTACAGTTTTTAAACTGCAACATTAACACCCCTCCTTCAGAGGGAATTGTTTTTAATATTGTATATGCTTTGCTTATATTTATGGTTATCAACATTAGTTTTACTACTGTTCATTTTAACATAACCTGCTGTCACTCATTTCTTCAGGGCTTGCAGCCGTTATTTACATCTAAGTGTCTTTTCTGATAACCTATCTTTTTTTTTTCTGAAAACTTCTGGTTTTCCTCTGTACTCACAGATTTGACTTGGGTCACTCAAACCGTGAGGGTTTAAGGAATATATATCGCAGAAATATAAATTACTTGCAGTGAAGCTCCACTCGTTCAACTGTCTTGTCTTGCAATGTTAAGTTCGGCTGTCTGCGATTGTAATATATATAATTTATAATTTGAGTGGTGCGTTGAGGTATATGTGGAGTCAAAAAACGTTATCTATGGAGGCAAAGAAGGGAATGCATGAAAGTATAGTAGTACCAACACTCTTATATGGATGTGAAGCTTGGGTGGTAAATGCAGCAGCGAGGAGACGGTTGGAGGCAGTGGAGATGTCCTGTTTAAGGGCAATGTGTGGTGTAAATATTATGCAGAAAATTCGGAGTGTGGAAATTAGGAAAAGGTGTGGAGTTAATAAAAGTATTAGTCAGAGGGCAGAAGAGGGGTTGTTGAGGTGGTTTGGTCATTTATAGAGAATGGATCGAAGTAGAATGACATGGAAAGCATATAAATCTATAGGGAAAGGAAGGCGGGGTAGGGGTCGTCCTCGAAAGGGTTGGAGAGAGGGGGTAAAGGAGGTTTTGTGGGCGAGGGGCTTGGACTTCCAGCAAGCGTGCGTGAGCGTGTTAGATAGGAGTGAATGGAGACGAATGGTACTTGGGACCTGACGATCTGTTGGAGTGTGAGCAGGGTAATATTTAGTGAAGGGATTCAGGGAAACCGGTTATTTTCATATAGTCGGACTTGAGTCCTGGAAATGGGAAGTACAATGCCTGCACTCTAAAGGAGGGGTTTGGGATATTGGCAGTTTGGAGGGATATGTTGCGTATCTTTATGCGTATATGCTTCTAAACTGTTGTATTCTGAGCACCTCTGCAAAAACAGTGATAATGTGTGAGTGTGGTGAAAGTGTTGAATGATGATGAAAGTATTTTCTTTTTGGGGATTTTTTCTTTTTTGGGTCACCCTGCCTCGGTGGGAGGCAGCCGACTTGAGAAAAAAAATGTATTTTTTTTTTAACACGCTGGCCGTCTCCCACCGTGGCACGGTGACCCAAAAAAAGAAACACTTTCACCCTCATTCACACTATCACTGACTTTGCAGAGGCGCACAGAAACGACAGTTTAGGTGTCACTATAAATAGCAAATATCCAAAACTCCTCCTTCACAGTGCATTATTATTATTATTATAATCAAGGGGGAAGCGCTAAACCCGGAGGATTATACAGCGCCTGGGGGGGGGGATGTGGAAGGCATTCAGGCTTAATTCGGGGAACTGGAGCACAGATCCAATTCCCTAAATCAAGAGCCCCTCACCAACATCAAGGAACCTTCCTTGAGGGGTCCTTCACAGTGCAGATATTGTAATTCCCACCTCCAGGACTCAAGTCCGGCTAACTGGTTTTCCTAAATCCTGCTCACACTCCAACAGCTCATCAAGTTCCAAAAACCATTAGTCTCCACCCACTCCTATCTAACATGCTCACATATGCCTGCTATATGTCCAAGTCCCTTGTGCACAAAACCTCTATGACCCACTCCCTCCATCCTTTCCTAGGACGACCCCTACTCTTCTTCCTCTCCACTACAGATTCATACACCCTCCAAGTCATCCTATTTTACTCCATCCTCTATAAATGACCAAAGCACCTCAATAACCCCGCCTCAGCCCTCTGAATAATAATTTAAGCAACTCTTCACCTCCTAATTTCCGCACTACGAATTCTCTGCATAATATTTATACCACACATTGCCCTTAAATGACATTTAAATCCTCCACCCCCTTCTTGCTGCAGCATTGACACCCAGCTTCACACTCGTAAAAGTGTTGGGACACTATCCTCATAAAACATTTACTGCAGCATAATTTGTAAGTTTCCTTTTTTTTTTTTCAGTGAAACTTTAAATAATTTGAACGAAATAAATATTTTAAACCTTTTTTCCACAAAATTATCACTTCTTGCAAATGAAATCCACAACAGCTAATACCCGGGATGAAATAGCACTTAAAAGATTTTTTTAAATTAATAAAATAAACACGCTACAGTTGATAAAAGTAAACAAAAATTTCAAAAATTAACGGTAAGTCAAGAAGTGAACAAAAAGTGACAGATGTAACACAAAGGGGTACCTTTGGGGTTTTGGGTCGCCATGATGGGGTCGTTTGATGCGGGGAGGAAGATGGAAGCGAAATAAGGGGGCCATGACATTTTTCCGCAGCAGTGGATCACGTAAAGTACCGTGGTTAGGAGGCGACCGTGGGTGGAGCCATAAGCGACACATAGAGAAGTTTCCCCCTCCCCTGGGTGAAAAAGTACAAGCATTTAAAAAGGTTATTTCCAAATCACCCCTTCTCGCAAACATTATCAACTTGCTTGAAATGCTCTGCATAACTATGGGCTTTCTGCATGCACAATCAAATGTCGCCTATCTCTGAACAAGCATTGTATCACGTGGAAATAAATCTTTGTCTTTGCCTTTACACACATTCTTACTGCCTCACCCCTAAATTCACACCCACACAGACTAGACACGATATAGACTAGGAGACAGACAGAGATTTAATGATAAGCGTAGCACAAAGCACATCAGCCTAATAATCACAGTAGCGAACGACCTTCTGGCATACTTACGAACGACAGTCGTCTACTCCAACAAAAAAGTATTTCAAAAACCTACGTACAACGTATGTTACACCCATCTTAGAGGCTAAGTAATAACCCACAGGGAGACAGAACCACTGAAAATAAAGTGGTCTGTCTATTTCGACCCCTAACTGGAGTCCTCTTCAGCAGATACAGTGAGATGGGAACATGAGGGTAATTAAGAAATAGCAAGATCTGGACGAAAAAGCGGCAGTAGTAGTCCATACACTGTTTTACGAACAGGTATGACAGACAGGACCTATGAGATCAGGAATAGTGTGCCCAATTGTGAGCAGAAGAGAAACAAGTCCAGGAGCAGTGACTCGATCCCCGTAGACAACGAACCTTTGCCCTGATAAGGATGATGAATATGATGACAATCCCAGTATTTCCACCAGGAGATGAGACAAACTATAATATCCCATTACTTAGTCTTCCAGTCGGGAGAGAACTTTTTTAATTCATGAAAAGCTCTAAACCTGTGTGGCTCATTCAACATAAGGAGGGGTGGATATCCGGTTCTCCCTCCTTCCGTTAATTGTAAAAGACACTATTCACGTAAAACCCCCGACACACTTATTCTAAGACAACCTTAAACAGTGACCCTGAGAAATGGCCCCATACACACAGTCCCTAACACCCATGTGTCTTATTCATCTACAACTAGACGAGTACATGTAGGAGAGCATATTCACCGTGCATACCTGGAGTATATCTAGAGCGTACGAGACACTGAGTTCACACTCAACTTACTCTGAGTCTCTGGCCACGACATAGCCTGGAGAAGTGTTCCCTCTCCTCCTCCTCACTCTGCTGCTGGTACAGCTTGGGTTGGAACCTTTGGTTGGAGACCTCTCGGTATTTGTGCTTGCTGGCCAGCTCCTCATCCACGGGAACCCACTTGGTTTGCCAGTCCAATCCACGAGGACCACGCGTTTCCAGCACATCATCGTGCTGAAGGGATTAGTAAATCTTAAAACGGCCTGGAAGTTATAAGTCTTCCTATTATAATCTTGTGATTATTAATAGTCTTTCTCTTATAAAAATAGCTTTATAAGTTCTAAAGTTATAAAAGTCGGGTAGTTAATACAGCATACCTTGTTTAAATAGTCTGGTGGCTGATAATTGTTCCTGTTATAATCAGTCTCGTGGTTGATGAAAATTCTTGTTATAAATAGTCTGGTGGTTGATAAGAGTTTCTGTTATAAATAATCTGGTAGTTGAGAAGTGTTCCTGTTATAAGCAGTCTTTCTTTATTAACAGCAATATTATGGTACACAAGTGAGGCATCAATATCTGTACCACGTATGATGTACATTACATACTACATTAGGAGTGTTATAGACTATGCCACTCATATACTCTCGACTCTTCTTAAAACAAGAATTAAGAAACTTGATCAAGCTGAGGTCGAAATGCCAAACATTTTAACTTAAGGATTGGGGTGAACGTACAGTCTATCCTTGAAAGAGTATGACAATTTAATGAAAACGGTATAATACTGACGATTTGATGAGTAAGATACATGGTGCAACAGTTGGGTATCTTGCACATGTGTCTTACTCACCAACGACAGTTTAATGTTATTTCTGCCACTGAATTGTTAAAGAATAACAGAAACAACATTCGTATTAAAGCTACTGTCAATGTTAAAGTAGTGATAACTGGATACTGAAACAGCCATGGATAGGTTGACATCGATAATGATGCATCAACTACATATTAAGGCTGTAATGTGCTGCGTTCACTCGCAAGACGAGTGGCACTGTGCCGTAAATTCGCCCCTCGGGGCAAATTCTAAACATGTTATAAAAATGTATACCCAACGACAAATACATTCACTCAGAAACACACTTAAAAACACTCACTAACATACCACTTACAAAACACACTTGTTACCTACAACTTTAATAGCTGACTTCAAAAAAGGCTCAATTTCATCTCTGGACGCTGAGGCGTCCTCTTCATCACTGGCTCTCTCCAGGGCTGCCTCAAACCACTCGATTGCCTTATCATAATAACCCTTATTGAGAGCGTGTTTGCCTAGGAACAAACAATCCCTTGCACTGAGCGGCTTGCTGCTGTGGAACTCTGGGGATGAAAAGGCACAGTTCTGGCATTAGAGACGCTTGTAATGCTCTTATGAAAATTACTGTAATCGCGGGAAAGCCTCATTAATTTTATAACATCTGAAAAAAGGGGAAACATCTGACTACCTCTTCTGGTGTATCATCCACATATAAACCAGAAACAGGGTCTGTCCTAATACTGATCTTCGTGGAATTCCATTTGTTACGCTTGCCTATTCGGACACCTCTTCTGGGACAACCATTCTTTATCTCCTTCCCGTAAGGTACTCTTTGATCCACTATAGAGAATTTCCTGTTATGCCTGCCTGCTCAAGTCTGTGTCCCAGTCTCTTGTGAGGTACTGTCAAATGTTTTCCTGCAGTCCAAGAACATGCAAAACACCCATTCTCTCTCTCTCTTTCACCTCACTTTTGTTAATTCGTCATAGAGCTCCAGCAGATTTGTGGGCAAGATCTGTCATCTCTAAACCTGTGTTGGTTGTTATTTATGAAACCACTTTTGTACAGGTGCTCCACCACGCTTCCGATTATGTTTTCCAATACCTCATATAGTATGTATTTCAATTATGCTGTCCTGTAGTTTTACTTTTCCTCTCTGCCTACTTCCTTTAATTTTTATACCAAATTTGCTGTCTTCCAGATCTTTGGCAATTACCCCGTATACTTTAATACCAAATTTGCTGTCTTCCAGATCTTTGGCAATTACCCCGTATACTTTAACTTATTGTATATTTTAGTGGTTTTGACAGTGCCTCTGCGCCTCGTAACAGAATAAATGATGACACGTTATCAGTTCCCATTGCTTTTGATACATCTAGCTTTCTCAGAAGTGCAGGTGAAGAGGGAGGTACACACAGAGGTGAGGATGGAGAAACAAACAGGGGTGAAGGACATACAGAGAAGCAGCACTTACCGCTGGAGGTGGGTCCGGTGCCAGTGAAGGTACCAGCAGGTAAGGTGGTCATGTTGAGGTTGTACGTATCCTGAAGGCGGACCAAAGCTACGGCAGCACCGTGCAGGTCCTCCATCACTGGGAAGGTTGACCTCTCCCGGAACAACGCCACACGCTGTACCAACTCTGGAGAGAAAGTGAGGTTGAGACTACCACAAGCTGTACCAAATCTAGGGAGAAGAAAGAAGCTGATGGAGGAAGACCACCACACAAACTCGGGGAGAGCGGGAAGGGAGAGTTATAGGTAAACAAAGAAGGTAGCAGGACGATCATAAAATTACAAAAGAGTAACACTAACATCACATAGTCTTTGACATGGCTCTGAGACGTCAACTCACTTACGGAAAAGCCAGAGCTGCACAACCTAAGATAACTTGGCTGTACAGCATCAGCAAGATCACCAGACTCTCCATTATCATGTCGCTGCCTAATAAGACTATCGTAGATCTGGTTTATCCAAAGTAAAAATTCTACACATTTAATATATAAAACTACTGCAAAAATTTCACATTATGCATAAAAACTTATGATAAAAATCACACAACATAGCCATACACACCACAGCCACCCCACTAACAACGCTGTAACAAACACGTACAACCACCCACACAACACACATACAAAACCACCCACATAATAAAAGCCACCCACTCACTCAAACTAGCGACATACACAATACAGCAGACACACAAAACCACCCACACAACAGTCACATACACAACACAGCCATATACACAATCCACAGCCACCCAAGCCACATACACAACACAACTGACAATCACCCACACAACACAGGTACATACACAACCACCACAATCACCTACACAAGTCACATATACAATACAGTGCAACACACACAAACACAATACAAGCTAAGTGTGTATCGATAAGTGCCTTTAGCAACCGGTAATTAACACAAACCATAACAGTGTCTAATGATACTTTGCCTATTGACACACACACACAAACCACCACCCAGGCTAAATGTCTATCGACAAAGGCATTTGACAACCGGTAACTACTACTACACACAAAAGAGAGCGCGAAGACACACCTTGTGTAGCATTAGCATGGAGGGTCATAGCGTCCTCCACGCTCGCCCACTCGACAGTGAGTCGCTTCAGCAATAAGTAGGCGTCGACGGGGTGAGCTACCACCATCCCTCCGGACCCTGAGCCACCTCCGGTGCCTCCTTCAGTGCTCAAGCGATGGTACTCTGACACATACCTATTGGAGAAGTACTCAATATAAGATCTTGATCGTAGATGTGAGTGGCCAGGCCAGGTCCTGCCTCCCGGCAGTCCGTATACACACCTCCCATCTCTTGCCACCAGGTAAGATATGATTTTTAATACCGACATGCTTGTAAAGCATAGTTGATATTTTAGCGCCAGTATACATTAAAAAAAGTGACGTTATATCGTTTGTTATTTAAACTTCATCAGTACAACGATTCGATATGCTACCGGGTGAAACTTTTCTTCGATAAATATCGAAGCACTACATGTCTTGCATATACACCACCTCCACTCCTAAAGATATTTTTATTTTTCAAAGGTGTGGATGGGTAAGTCAGTGGAAGACCTTGGACAGATGGTCACAAGGTGCATGGTGGGTCATCACAGGACTAAGACCTGTAATAAAGTTGGTAGAATTGCCGACAATATGTAAAGTAAAAGGACACAAGTGCAACTAATGTGACATTTTATTATGGCAACGTTTCGCTCTCCAGGAGCTTTATCAAGTCGTAACGGCTTGATAAAGCTCCTGGAGAGCAAAACGTTGCCATAATAAAATGTCACATTAGTTGCACTTGTGTCCTTTTACTTTACAGGGCTAAGACCTGCCTGCGTCCAGGTGACATTAAACCTGTGATAAATGGTTATGAAACCGACAAGTTGAAGAGTGAGACATTTATACAACATAAGGGAATCTTTACCTCAAACTCCTCCTCTCCTTACCTATTTCTACTTTATATTGGACTGATGAAGCCACTGGGTGGCGAAACGTTTCCTTAATAAAGATTCCCATATGTTGTATAAGTATCTCAATCTTCGATAATACACCTGTTTCCTGGCGAATAACACCTGATCTAAACCTAGCGTCTTCATTCCGAACATCACACGGAGAGATGCGTCTCTCATGTAATGTTCTTAGATCAGTTTGCATATAGATTTCTTATTTAGACTAATAAAAAATATCATAGTAGGGCCTAACTGTAAAGCAGACTAGTGGTAATACTATTAATTTTATTAAGATTTACAGAAATTTAACACACATAAAATACAGTTTACCAAATAAATATGTTATAATTGTTGATTATCTAATATTTACATTATAATACAAATATACCCTTAAATTAAAATAAAAGTGAAAGATGACTGTTACTCAGCTTCCCCCCTCTCTCTCTCTTTTGCGGTGTTAGTTCTGGTTAGGGTAACGTATATTAACTTTTATGTCGGTAAAATTACCCGAAAATAAAGCAGTTAAAAAGGACAAGTGGCTTACGGTAGAAAATGTGAAGGAGAGGTTGTCTACTCTTAACTGCAACATTCTTATTTCGTCAGCAGACGAAGATACAGTGAACTACATACAAAAAAAGTGTAAACAGTTAAATAATCTGCCTGAAGGAGCAATCTGTTAGGGAAACCAAAGTGAAAGGTGGAGAGTTGAAGATGTGCTACACAAACTCCCACGTAGCATCATTGAAGCAAGAACGTTGAGTAGGTACATGGATGGGTGTGAAATGAACTTGCCTAGCATGGGCCAGTAGGCCTACCGCAGTGATCTACTGTTTTATGACTGACATAGGAATATGTGTATTTAGTCATTTCTCAGCACTAACAGTTAGGCTGCGCTACTAACACATGGTGTCACTAACGTCCAGGCTTCCACTAACAATCAGGCTGTTAAATTAACACTCAGACATTTTTAAGAGTATTCAGAACATGTTTACCTTCAGTGACGCGTTCTCCCAGATAAATTACTGTACAAAGATCACCGCGACAAGAGCCAACATTGACGAGAATTCAAGTGGTTAACCCCCGTAAATAGTAAAGCCACAAAGTTTACTTCAACTCCACCAGCCACTTTACCTTAGGCAAGGCCAGCACACCAGTAATGTACTCGGCTGATACATCAACAAAAGGAGAAACTTGTGTAAAGATTCGCGGCATGCGTTCAACTGGTCGCTCACTGGAGAAAGTGGTGTACAGATTATAACGTTCTCCTTTTTATGCTTACACTTGTTTTTCTTCCTACTGCTTGGTCAACATTACTAAATGGCAGTGTATTTACGTCGCGAGATGTGAATCTTAATTTATGTACACTGAGAGTATGCTTTAATCCCTATTTCATGGGTTACAGTATCCTTGACTGGTAGTGCTCAGGCGATATGAGGATTACTGAACCTCGTCTAGTTAAAAGGCTTCAAGCCTAACAATCCCTCGGGATCAATCTTGGGCGAGTGGAGATGTTGGGCAAATTTCCTTACATCTGTTCACTTAGCAGTAAATAAGTATTCGGGAATGCCATCCTGAGGGGGGCAGTAAAGTTTAGATAGGGCTGGGCTTTGAAATGAACAGAGAAACAACTCTTGGCCTGTAAATTCACCGTTTTAGGAAAAAAATGCAGCCTACAAAGTAAATTATGTTTCCCCCCTCTTTAAAACGTAACAATAAACTTCAGAGTCGTATTCCGAGGATGGTATTCACTTGAGATCTTCAATATGTGTATACAACTTCGATGACTTTTTTTTTTTTTTACTTTTAAGAGTTTCTAAACTTAAGTTTGCGGTTTTCATGTTCTGACAGTGACCCTCGACAAGGCCACATAACCTCATTGGTTTTCCGCGAGTTTTATCGGTGCTAAAGTTGTATTTATACACTTGTTGGTTAGCTTGAGAGCTCGTATTTGAATACAGCTCAGGATGGCATTTGCTGTCACTCGAGCAGCTGTCACGGGAAAAGTTCCCAACACTAGAGAGATGGGATAATTATATTAAATTACAGAGTTCTGCAAAAATATACAGCTTACTCCACCTCTCTCTCCCACCTTTTCTTCCATTTGCCTTTCTTTCTCCCTCTGCCCCTCTCCTCCCTTTACCCTCTCTCCTTTCCTCCTCATCCACCCCTCACTTTTCCTGTTATCTGCCCCTCTCTCCAGGGCAGGCAGACAGACACAAATTACATTTACAGAAGCTGACATTTTAAAGTGATAGAAATATGTCTTGTTACTACAACTTTTATAACAGACTTTTTTAAGATTTTCCCCCGAGGGAAGAGTTTATTGAACAGCATCATTCATCCTGCGACTGAAAATACTGCCACAGAAACATTTCATTACAGCCCAGACAGACATGTTACTGTCAGTGTTAACTCCAGCATTGCCCTTCAAGGGGCCTTGATCCAAGGAATTGAAGCTAACTCTCCTTTTCCTTGAATCAAACCTGGAAAAAACCTCCCATTCTCCCCTCACATTTGCGTTTGTGTTCTATAGCATTTTTTATATTTCTGGATTTTAGACTGAACAAGGCTGACACTTAATTCGAAAATAAACTAGTTATTTTTTTTACTTTTTTTTAATACATCGGCCGTTTCCCACCAAGGTAGGGTGGCCAGAAAAATAAAAATTTTCATCATTCACTCCATCACTGTCTTGCCAGAGGCGCGCTTATACTACAGTTATAAAACTGCAACATTAACACCCCTCCTTCAGAGTGGTGTTAATGTTTAATGTACCTCCCATCACCAGAACTCAAGTCTGCCTGCCGGACTTGGTCTGGTCCTGAAACAGACTGATCATTCTGCTCGTTCTCTTGTAATTCTGAACTTAGTTTGTGGGCATGTGCTATACCACCAATAACCCAGGCAAGAAACGAATTTAAAATATTATCTACCAGATAACGGGATTGTATCCCTGTTCTTATCTCTATTTATTAACTTTCCAGATTTTTATTTTATACCTCAAGGTCAAATTAAGGGCAACTATTCAGTCTGGGGTGAAGATACACGATCCTGGGTTCTTACAAACGTTTCAACATGTTCTTAAAAAAATGTAAGAACAACTTATATACAACAAAGAACACCTATCGCTCACTCACCGTTTGATAATGTCGACCCTGTGGTTAGCGGCCTCCAGGTACCTCTCCACCATCCTCACGATCTCCGCCTCCAAGCTTAGGAGATCTTCGAGCTTGCTAGTAGCAGAGAACATGTCCTCCCGAGCCTGCGACATAAAGTTCTGGCCGTGTGTGGCTTGCACCAGCAGCGCCGCCGCCGCTAGGAGGACAAGACCAGCCTGTGGGTGATGAATGGTTATATTAATGAAGTGCTAAACCTGTGTGGATCATTCAGAATAAGGAGTGGCGAAGACTGAATCTTCTGTTCACTAATCGCTGCCAGATCTTTGACCATCAGTTAAATTGAGTTCCTTAGGTCTCGCCTCGCAGTACATCGCCCCCAGTTTCGACATCAATCTCCTAGCGAACCTTTGGCTGTTTTCTAATTTCATGCTTGATCAGATACGAGTTCCACCCTGGTTCCACATATTCCAAGATGGGCCAAATGTACGTTGTGCACAATGTCCTCAGAGAATCTTTGTTTAGGTTCCTGAACAGTTCTTAGGTTAGCTAAGTTGTACGTACCACTAAAATTATAGTAGTGTACTTCTGGTGATCTTCTTGGCGAAAAACTACGTAATCTCAAAGCTTCCTTCTTGTATTTTGTCTGCATCGTCTCTTACCCCAGTCTGTATTCCGTGTCCAGTCTTCTCACTCCCCCATTTCCATAACTTTCCACTTATCTGGACTGAATTTATGTAGCCACTTTGCTATGTTCGCAGCCTGTTCGTCTTATTGGGTTTGTGTACCTTAATATGAATCTGACGTACATTAGGCACAGAATCTAAAGGATTCTTTATTAAGGATCCTAAAAGCTATTCCGAGATTAGTTAGAATGCCGAAGTCAGACAGTTGATGTGTTCCTCTGGCGATATGTTCTGAATGACGTTTACTCCTACATCCTTTTCTTTCGTCTATAATTTTACCTTCTCTCCTCAAGATGTACTACTCTGTTCTCTCATTTCCCGTTTTTCACGATCTTACACATATTATGGACTGAATTTCAACAGCAAGTTGTTTAAATCTATGTGGAGCCTTTATCTGTCTTCGCCTGTTTGTGTTCTTTTGAACAGTCTCACATAAACGTCAGATACACAGAATTCGATCCCACCTGGCAAGTCAGGAATAACAGTGCCCCTAGTACTGATTCGTAGGCGACTTTACTAGTTACCATTGCCTCTACCCTCCTTTTCCTACTATCACCGTCTTCCAGGTGCTCTTCTAGTTAGTGAGCCAGTCTCTGGTGAGGATTATTATAATCATGAGGGAGCGCTAAACCCGTAGGATTATACAGCGCATGTGGGGGAGGGTGGAAGGCATTCAGGCTCAATTCAGGGAACTGGAGCACAAATCCAATTCCCTAGATTTTAGGCAGTAAAAGTTCTCTCCTCATTTGTAAGTCTACAATTTCGCCTGTCTTAAAAAGGGTTGTATGAGCAGTGTTCAAATCTACAAGGAACAAGTGCCTTAAATTACTTCTGTATTTATGTGGAAGAAGTAAAACCGTAAAGAAAAACTGTTTAAAAAGAATATGACCATAGATTTCTCATTTCTCACAAGATATATACACAGAAAGGAGTAAGTCTCTTTGTGCACATATACTGAAAGTTTAGTTCCTATTTTTAGAGATTAAAGTATTCGCAACTGGTGGGTGAACAGGTTTATGTGTAGCCATAATGACTCGTGTAGTATACAGGCTCTAAACCCAATTTCCCACTCAGTTTTGACATATCTTTTTTTTTTTTTTTGGGGGGGGGGGAAGTGCTAAACCAAGAGGGGGTCACAGTCTTGCTTTGAAGATTCTTCTTATCCAGTCTATTTTTCTTGCAGCTGTGAGTCAACACTTCGAGTTCCCGGAGTGTAGTATTTCCACATTGTTACCCCGAGGCCCCTAGTAATCATTGTCGCTCGATAGAGTTATTTGATGGAGTTGGGACTCTGTTCTACTTTCTAGCTCTTCAAAAACGTCCATAGCGGAGTAGTGGTGAAGTATGTGGAAATACTGATTGTTGTAGTGGTGGGTTTATTCTGTGACTGTTGTGGTGGTGGTTGTGGAGATATTCTGTAATTGTTGTTATGGTGATTGTTATGGGGGTATGTGATTCTTATTGTGGTTGTAGTGATTCTCTGATTGCTGTGGTGGTGGTGATTGTTAATGATGTTGTGGTGGTTTTGTGGTAGTGGTGATTAATACTGGAAGTTGGGAAAACTATAATTGCCTCTCACACTGCACTTTAGATGACTAGAACTGGTGTTGCTGTCATCATTGCTTACAACACATCCATGAGCCTCAGCAACACCATTGTAATTCTCTAAATTGTCACTTGCATCAAGGTAATATTACTATTGTTGCTTTTACCACTCCGACCGTCTCCCAGCTAGATAGAATGATTCAGAAAGGAAACAACATTCATTCAATCGTTTTCTGGCTAGAAGTCCGCAAACATCATAATTCACCCCTCCAGAGTCCAGGCACCGTACTTCACACCTCCAAGACTCAAGTCCGCCTAAGAAGTTTCCCTGAATCCCTTCATAAATGCTACCCTGTTCACACCAACAGCGCGGCAAATCCTTAAAACCACTCATTTCACTCACCTTTATCAACACACGCTGGATTCCCAAGTTCCTACTATTTAACACCTCTTTCACACCCTTCACCTCTCCTGGTACAACCCCTACAACTTCTTCCATCCTCTCAGTCCAGATTTATACACCCCTCGCGTTCATCCTCTCCAAATATATATACAACCTCAACAACCTTTCCTCCGCCCTCTAAATAATACCTTTCGTAATCCCACACCGTGTCCTAATTTCTATGCTCTGGATTTTCTGCATAATATTCACACCAAACATTGCTCTCACACATAACATCTCCACTGCCTTTAGCCGCCTCCTCCCTGCAACGTTTGAAACTCATACCTCGCATTAATATAAATTCTTAATGCTACTATACTCTGATACATTCCACATTTTGCCTCCATAAATAAACTTCTTTCCACAGATGTCTCAACACACTCGTCCATTCTCACCTCATCGTTTACAGACTCATCAGCCAACTAGTGCACTTTCGAATATCTGAATACGTTCACTTTCCCCATACTTCCTCCAGTGTGATATCCAATCATTCATTCCTTAAACTTCTCGTTACTTTCATCACTTTGCTCTTTCCCACATTCACTTTTAATTTCCTCATATCCTTTTCGTATATTAATATATTAATGAGAAACAGCTAAACCAATAAGGGTCATACAGATGGTATTTAGTATAGGTCAAGCATCGTTCGTTATATGCTGAGTTTGGTTGCTACAAGGTATTGCAACAATAAATTTATACTGTATATATCAATATATAGACTAAACCTAGCTAAGTAAATTAATTTATAGTTATTGTTGTCTGATGATGAAGATATCTTTGTATATTGCAATTCTCCTGTGTATGGCAAAGGCCCCAATGAGAGATGTTAATTCCTTAGTAACTCCAGCTCCGCTGGAAGGAAACCTTTGAGGCTCACGTAGCTGATGAGCCTTAATGAAATACTTGATATCCTCATTGCCCTACTGAAATCTTCCAGATACAATACGATGTATGAAATGTATCATGTGTAACGGAATATTCAATTCAATTCAATTCAAAGTTTATTCTCTATAAGGATTACAATGCTGAGTTTACAGAAATTTGGTTATTGTTTGGTTTACATGTAGTAAAATTGTGATTACAGAGTGTACCACTAGAACGCTTAGCATGGCTAGGCATTTCGGGCATACTTAGTTTTATTCTTAATTGTAAAATATTACAAATTATGAGGTAAGTTGGTCTTATGGCTAAGTGACTAAATACTAGTTTATGAGTTTAGCAATGTGAATGCTTTTGTTTTGGCACAGTATATAGTTTCAGTATTGGAGTATCACAGGATTCATTATTTTAAGACTGAGATTAATATTTCTGTTTATGGTCAAATGAGTGAGCGAGTGTAAGTGTGAACCACCAGGTGGTATTCGTGTAGTTAGTTGACGGGGTGTATCAGGGAGATTAGACGTTTTCTAATGGTAGTTTTGAAGGTGATGAATGTGTCTGCAGTTCTAGAGTTCTCAGGTAGGGTATTCCAGATTTTAGGGCCTTTGACATACATTGAATTTTTGTAAAGGTTTAGTCGGACACTGGGAATGTCGTAGAGATGTTTGTGTCTGGTGTTATGCCTGTGGGTTCTGTCACAACTATCAAGAAAGCGTTTTAGGTCAAGGTTGATATTAGAGTTTAAGGGATAATGGAATTTTGCAGTGTTGCCGACAATAGCGAAGAAGACACGTTTGCAAGAACAAGCTTTTATTCAAACGTTTGCAAGAACAAGCTTTTATTCAAACGTTTGCAAGAACAAGCTTTTATTCAAACGTTTGCAAGAACAAGCTCTTATTCAAGTCATATGTCTTGAAAAAGCTCTTAGCGGAACAAAACGTTGTCCCGATAAAAATTTGTTCAGACTGTTTTTTCACAGCAAGCTTATGTTCTCACTGTGTAACTATCATACTGCGGGTGTTCCCACTAGGTAACTATCAGAGTGTAGGGTAGCAACATATTGCTTATGTCTCCACTTTTGTTTAGTAAACACAAGAGACATGTATGATCTCAGGCAGGGACCACATACGCCGCCAGTTCATCATTCTGTCATGTTAGGTAGTAGAGCAGTGGCAAGACCACCAGCCAACCATGCTATGATGGTTGATTGATGGATGAGAGCTAGCGGAGATGAGCACCGAATAACTGATGGTTGAGGTGAGGAAGGGCGTTGATTTACTGATGAGTAGGCAAGGTTGGCTTAATGTTGAAAGAGAGCTGGCCGAGAGGAAGAGTCGAAGGACCTTACGTGATAGTTGACGTCGAGTATAGTGGTCTAACAATCTCTCTTCTCAATCCTCTCAAGAAATCAGACGAGCACACAAACACATTCCTACTACGTCAAGTTACACGCAGTAAATTAGCAGAGAAAATTACATTATATTCATTAAAGCTTCAATTACATTATTTAACCAGACTCTACACCTTTGGTAGCAGAAAGACACTTATAGAAAAGACGTTCCAGAGGGGTGTGTGAGAGAGAGAGAGAGAGAGAGAGAGAGAGAGAGAGAGAGAGAGAGAGAGAGAGAGAGAGAGAGAGAGAGAGAGAGAGAGAGAGAGAGAGAGA